ATCATAAGAAGAACACAAATTGGTTGCTATTGTGCCCACTTTACAGATTAAAAATATCTCAAGAGCAAGGAGTTTAATAAGTCCCCCAGGGTCATACTGTGACACAGCCAGGATTAAACTTGGAACGTTACGACACCATAGCCTGAATTCTCAACCTCTGGGTTGCCTTGAACATCCCTAAATTTCCCATAGTCCAGCAGAGGAGGCAGACATGCAGAGAAATACAACGGAAAATGTTAAGAGCGCTGTGGTCATTGCGTAAGGTTCAGGCAGATCACAGACAATGGATTATCATCTGCATATCAGCTGAATACAATTATCCTAGGATTTGCAGGATGGTTTGACAAAGGGGCTGAACGTCTGATTTGAGTCTTGAAAAGTCAGCAGGACTTGGCCACAAGGACCTGGCTTTCTCGATGGAGGAAATGGCCCCTTCAGAGGCATGGTGACTTGAATATTCACGGGGTACACAATCAGGAGATGCCAGGTACTTCGTGCTAAAGCAAAAGTTCTCCTTCAGAGAAATGGCAGGAGATGGAGTGGGAGGGACCTGATGGGAGTGGATTGTGGGGGTACTTTCTTGCCCATCTAGAGAGTTTGCATTCTATCCTAAGGGCAGTGGAGAGCCACTGCCAGGCTTTATAAAAGGGATGACATGATCAGATTGCTGTTTTACAGAGAGCACCTCTGCTGAGCGAATGGATGGCAGATGACACCAATGGCAGGTTGAGAGGAAAACCAACGTGAGAAATCACGAGATCTTGAACTAAGGCAATGGGACTGGAGAGGTAGGGATGGATCGGGGTGCATAGATGGAGAGGGAGGCAGAGGGAGGGGCTAGGACAAGCAAACTTGGTTTCACATCTTGTTACGAAACAGAAAGTTCGTATGCTGGACACACAGTGAGGCCAAACAAACTGAAACATTGAAGTTTGGAGCAGAGGAAGGTTTATTGTGGGGCCAAGCAAAGAGGATGGACAGATCACACTTGAAAAGCTTAAACTCCCTGATGGTTTTGGGGAAAATATTTGTAGGAAAAATCTGGGGGAGGGCAGCAGAATATGTGACTTTCTTCTGATTGGCTGGTGGTGAGGCAACAGGGCTGCGTTCCAGGAGTCTTGTGCTCAGCCTGAAGTTACCATCCTCCACCTGGGTGGGGGCCTTAGTTCCTGCAGGAGAACTCAAAGATTAGTTATGTATATTCCCTGAGGAGGAACCAGGACCTGCCCCAAGGCGGCACTATTGTTTCTTGACTGGTCCTCTCCTGTCTCTGCATCCCCTCCCTTCCCTGATTAGCAACTGTTTGAATCTGCCCTTTGGAACTCAGGGGAGGTCAAGGAGGCTGAATGAAGCCTATTTCCTACAAACAAGAAACAGGGACATGGAAAGGCTTTGTACCAGAGAGGACCCCACAGGGCCCTGCTCTGTTTCAATCTGTACATAGCCTGCCAAATATACCAAAGATCTTTCCATTTAAAAAGCACAGCAGAAACATCTGATTATTCCAGTTCAACGTCCCTTTGATCCAAAGGCAATTTCATCAGCCAGGGATCCCCAGCAAGAGATTTAAAGCATAGCTTAGCCCTTTGGCCTCTTTGATTCACTAAGATAGCTCTCAGGACCTGAGTGCCTGAGCCACCCTCCTCCTCTCCATTCCTGTAACTGTCTGCTTCCCAGGGAGCTCACATCCTTCAGATCCCAGCATTTGAGGGTATTCAGGATGAGGGGAGAGGTTGTGATGGGGCTACAGCCTCATCCCCGTGACCCTGGTGAGATGCTCCTACAACCTGTGAATCCAATAAGACTTCATTGAGCACTACGGTGTTTTATGTGGGAGGGCGATGGGAGGCTCCCTGGGAATGTGACGATGAATATACGTACGTATATGCATGACTGGAACACTGTGCTGTACCCCAGAAACTGACACATTGCAACTGACTGTATGTCAGTAAGAAATAAAAATTAAAATTAAAAACAAAGGAAGGCTCCCCAGTTCCTGACTTCATCGATCTGATCTTCTCCTGGTTGGGGAGAACATAGATGTGGCTCATACCAGTATCACATGAAAACAGTAAGCGCTGAAAAGAATGAAACCTGGAGCTATAAGATTCCACCCCATCAAGGGAAATCCCCACTTAGTGAGGTCAGGGGCTGCCCTCCGAGGAAGTGACAATTACACTGAAATCTGAGAAATGAGATAATACATTTGAAGTAAAGGCAAAAAGAAGAAGGAAGACCTCCCCAGTATAAGCGCAACTTTCCTGGTTATCTGGGAAACCTTACAATCATGCTTTTCTGAGATCAGATGCTCACTCTGGGATCTAAGGTTGTTCCTCACAGTTTACTGTTCAGAATGACACTTTCTGATGTGACATCTCAGACTCCTCCCCTGCACTGGAACAGAGCCGAGGTGTGGCTGTGGAGAGCCCTGGGCTTGGTGCCAGGGGGAGTCCAGCTTGAATCCAGGCTCCATCCCTGGCTAGCTGTTTGATCTTGCACAAGTTACAGACCCTTCCTGTGCCTCAGCCTCCTGGCTGGTAGGTTGAGACCAAAACCACCTTATTCCCAAGTGATTTGTGAGGAGTGAATGCAATTGCTTAGAGTACCCACCCAACAGGGTGAAAGTACTCACTAGTTTTTATTCTGAATTTGGCTCTAGATCAACTTACTAAAATTCACCTAAAATCAAACTGTTAAAAAAAAATCAATTTGCTGAGTGATCGATTTCCCATTGTTACTTGACGCAGAAAGTCATCCCAGCTGGCACAAAATGGAAACGTGACACAAAAATGTCACCCACGTCTCACTCTAGCTGCTGGCTTTCTCTTGCTTCCACTACACAGCAAACAACTCAAAGGAAGATCTCGGTAAATTCATGGACTCCACGTCACCTTCGGTTGCAACCCACCTCCTCCAGTCTGGCTCCTGCCTTCAGCAGGCCTCTAGAAGTCTCCTTCCCGAGGTCGCTAACTGCTCCCTTCGGCTAGGTCCAAGGAGGTCTCTCCATTCTTGGTTTTACTTATTGTTTACAGCTTGACTTAAGTGGACTACATTCTCTTTCTGGAAAAATTTTCTTTCTTTGGCTTATTTCTCACCACAACTTGTTTCTCTTTCTTCTCTGACTCCCCTTGTCCTGTTCTTTCATTGTAATTTCTTCGGGCAGGACCCCAGACCCTGTTTCTTCTCATGGCCTCCCAGCCCCAAAGTGAGCGCCTTCAGATCGGCCCCTTTGTCATCTATTTGCCAGTAATTCTGGAAGATGATCACTCCAGCCCAGATCTTTCTTCTGAGGTTCATTCCCATCTGTCTAACTGACCGCTCGAGGTCACCACCTGGACATCTCACAGGGTCTCAGTACCCCCGCAGCACCTCCAATTTCCCAAACCCCTCTCCCGCAGTGTTCTGAGTCTCACTACAGAGCGTCCCACCCACCCGGGTAGTCATGTCTAAAACCTAGGACTCATCGTTTGTTGCCAAAAAATTGGTCTCTGTACCCCAGTGGCCCAGTTGAGAGTCAGAGGGAGAGTTTGGGGAGGATAGAAAGGAACAGCTTTATTGTTTTGCCAGGCAAAGGGAGTCACAGCTGGCTTATGCCTTGAAGACTGAGAGCCCCTCTTGGGGTTGGGGTCTTGAGGTTTTAAAGAAAAACTGGATGGAACAGAAAAGGTGATAACCATCAGGACGTGAGCAGGGGCGACATTCCTTTCATCTTGATAAGAACTTGCTGTTGTTATGAAGGACTTGGGGAGGGTCTGCCCATTTTCTTCAGATTCAGTTCATGACCTTCTTTCAAGTCCTCTAGGATAACAGGATACGTTATTCTAAGAAAATAATGCACAAGGAGGGGAGTGTGTTACTCATAAGATCAGTTTAGCTAGAAGCACAGCCTGACCCACTCCTTCACTTTGACCTTACTCTCTCTCACCACCTACATCCAAAGAGTCAACAAATCTTGCAGACTCTCTCTCCGATCTTTGTCTCGGACATTCCTGTTCTCTACAGAGAACATTTAAAAATGCAGATCTGGGGGAGGGTATAGCTCAAGTGGTAGAGCGCATGCTTAGCATGCATGAGGTCCTGGGTTCAGTCCCCACTACCTCCTCTAAGAATAAATAAATAAGTACAACCTAATTACCTTCCCCACCGAAAATAAAAACACACAATAAAAATGCAAATCTGATCATGGCGCTCCCTTGCTTAGAATCCTTCATCCTCTTAGGATAAAGACCCAAGCCCTTAGCCTGGCTTGTGAGGCCCTGTGTAATCACCCTGCCGCGTTTCTCCCAGCCATCTGTCTTGCGTTTCCGTTTTCTTTCCTGACCTCAGGCCACACTGGTCTCCTTGTACATCATGGACAGGTCTGCTGCTCCCCTGGTGTAAAGTTCTCCCTGAGCACGGAGCCTTCCTCCTCATCTCATTATCTCACGCTCAGCATCACTAGCTAATTCCCCTTATCCTTTTAGGTATCAGGATAAATGTCACTTTCTTAGACTATATGAGTTTCCTAATTATGGGCTCACATTTTATTCTCCGAGAGTAATTCAGCAAGGAAATGAATAGAGAGTGGGTTGAATCTATACTTTCCATGAGTGTGAGGACCATGTCTGTCATGATCAGTTCAGCATCTTAAAGGTGTTGGATTAGTGCCTGGCACAGTGTGGCACATGGTGAATTGTCTCCGAATAAACAGGTGCATGAGCAAATACAACCTGTATTTCTTACCACGTTGTTTGTGAAAATGAGATAAGATAAGGAGGCGGAAATGCTGTGCCCATTAGAAAGCATCGTACAATCCCCACTCGTTTTCATTATTAAAGTCGTGAGCAGACAGCTGTAATGCCAGAGCAACCAGCTACCGGGAACAGGGCTGTCAATGCGATCAAAGATGACAAAGTGAATCTGACATATATTTAATGATGCACAGCACCTGGATTTCACTATGTGGGAATCAGGTCCCACTGCCTAATCTCAGAAGGTTCCTCCATGGGAGCATAGGCTCTTTGGTCCCTCCCTCCCACCTCCCCCATACATCCACCCTGCTAGATCCCAAAGAAATGGATAAAGGGTGATGTCCCTGACCATCCCTGACAACTTCTTTTGTACCCTGACAACTCTCTGCACTTCCTTCTACGAGGACATGTATCGGACTGTATCTCTATCATTTACATTTCAGACTGCTCCCACTAATAATCGAATAATAGCCCCATCACGGGGACTGAAAAATGTGCCCAGTGCTAAATGCTTAACGTTCTTACCAATTAATCTTCACAACAACCCTGTGGAGGTAGGCAAGGCTGTTTGCAGTTGGGGAAACTGAGGCCTAGTGAGGTCAAGTGACTTGCTAAAGGGTTCCACATATTAACAGAGAGAGGAAAACTAGAATTTGAACAAGGATAGGCGTGTCTGATTCTGTAGCATGTTGGTAAATACCAACAAGGAACTAAAAGCCACGATCTCATTTGTAGAGTTTGTCCATTTCTCTGGCGTAAATATTTCCATCATAATGATTTCGAGCTACCAGTCGGCTCTTGCAAAACTAGTGAATGCTGGCCAGTATACCACTGATCTCATGAGAAATCATGTACTCTTTGTTGTTGTTGTTGTTGCATTTCTTTTGTTAGGTTTATTCACAAGTAAGAAACCCTGTGCTCTGAATCCTTAGCTTAAAGCAGTGGTTCTAAAGGTGATGCTCCCAGACTGGGAGCAGCACACTCAGCATCACGGAGGAACGTGATGCTGGGCCCACCGAGAGCTCCCTTAGCTGGAAGTCTGAAGCGGGGCCTGGCAATCTGTGTTTTAACCACCCCTCCGGATGGTTCTGATGCTTGCTCACCGCTGTTTGGCACAGTCCCAGCACCACGCTGGCATCGTTAAATATTTGTTGAATTGAACTGAATGGATACTTGTAAAGAGAACGTGAACTCTACAGCCAAGCCTAACCCCAAGGAGCCTGAGTTCTACTCTCAGGGCCTTCGGGTGGGGCTTATGTTTTCTTCCAAGCCCTCTGACCATCCCTGCTGTACACCTCAGCCCTACCTGCTCCCTCAGCTTCCTGAGAATCCCAATTAGAAAGTGCTTTTGTCAGGTGATTGTGACATGAGCAGTACCTTCATAGGATTGCTACCAGCGATCAGATTTCCAGTTCTCTGTGCTCTGGATCTAATTGAAGATCACAGAGATCTTTTTTCTTGATTTGTTCTACACATTTTATAGTTTTGTCTTTCACATTTTGGTTCATGATCCATCGTAAGTTATTTTTCTGTACAGTATTAGTTAAGGATCAATGTTCATTGTCCTCCATACAGATACCCAGTTGGTCCATCACCATTTTTGGGGGTGGGGGTGGGGTGGGGGGAGGTAACTAGGCTTATTTATTTAATAATTGTTTTAAATGGAAGTACTGGAGATTGAACCCAGGACCTCATGTATGCTAAGCACGCACTCTACTACTTGAGCTATGCCGTCCCCCTCCCCCATAATCATTTCTTAAAAAGAAAATCAGAAGCCCAATGGGGTGGAGTAACCATATATAAAGTAGATGAGCAACAAGGCCCTACTGCACGGCACAGAGAACTATGTTCAATATCCTGCAATAGCCTATAATGAAAAAGAATATGAAAAGGAATATGTATGTATATGTATATCTGAATCACTATCTAGACACCAGAAATTACCACACATTGTAATTGACTACACTCCAATTAAAGAAAAAGACAATCATTTTCCAATTGAATTTCATCGGTACCTTTGTCAAAAATTGGTACCATTAATTATACGTGTGCAGGTCTACTTCTGGACTTTCTGTCCCGTTCCATTGACCTACGTGTCTTTTTATTTTGCCGATACCACACTGCCTTGCTTATTACAACTTTATAGTAAGTTTTGAAATCAGGTAGTTCAAGTCCTACGATTTTGATTTTTTTATTTAAACAGAACTGAATCCTTTATTTTTCCAGATAAATTTTAGACTCAGCTCGACCCTTCATACAAAATGGCTACTGGGGATTTTGACTGGGATTCTGTTAACTCTGTAGATATATTTGGGGAGAACTGAAAGTTTAGCAATCCTGAGTCTTTGCAGCTATGAACATGGCACATCTCTTCATTTATTTAGATTGTTTTTAATTTCCTTTAGCAATGTTTTACGGTTGTCAGAAAGAGTCTCGCATGTGTTTGCTAAATTTATTTCTGAGTATTTTAAGTTTTTTGCACCACTTTAAGTGGAATTGTTTTAATTTTATTGTCTAACTATTTCTGCTGGTACCCAAAAATATATTTGATTTTTGTATATTAACTTTGATCTTGTGAACTTGCCAAATTTAATTTTTGTTTCTGCTTATTGTTTTGTAGATTCCTTACAGTATTCACCTTTTGACAAATGAGATAGTTTTACTGTTTTTCTTCCCAATATGGATGCCTCATATATTTTTC